AACATAGCCTAACATTTTCCCATACATATTACTTTTAGATGACATATTACAACTCTTTAAACCKCAAGGTCATAGCCAGGARAAAAAAAAAAAAGCTACAAAACTAAAATTACCTAACTGTTTACTCACTTACCTGATGACAGTATTGATAAATACTTGCTAGAGGAACCTTTTAGACTAAAGCAAGCATCTTAATCAGCAATATTTATTGGGTATTAGTTACTTAAAATGATAGGTTAAATGTTCCAACATCCAAAAGCAGAACAGCTTTTAGGGGATGAACTTTTATATGAAGTCCCAGTCACATGACAGCCTTTCCCATCAACCTAACTTAGATGCACCTGTAGAAAATAAAGCAGTCATGGTGGGGGTGGGGAGGGGAAAATACCTGTAGCTAAGTTGTTAGTATTTACCCCTTAATCTGAAGGGCACTAAAGCATACATTTTGGTACACCAAAAGTTTCATCAGAACATTGTCTCCTYGAACACCTGAGTCTTTGGGATACTCTTAGGTAAGTGTTAATGAATAAATGCCTAAGGCTAATTATGACCTACTTGTATATGASTTTCTTCTTTTCTCCTTTTTCTTTCTGTCTTTCTTCTTCTCTGCCCCATATATGCTTTGAAATCTGCTAAACGATTCTGGGGGCATTTAGAGATGGAGTTGAACTAAGGCAGTATATAGCAAGCTTTACAGAAAATTGAAATCTTTAACGTGTTTTTTTAAGTAATACAAACAATCAACTTGAGGTGAGGCTGATATTTTCTTTTGAAAACATAAATAGACTAGTACTAAATACTCACCCCTAAGACATTAATATGGCTAGGTAGAACTGTGAGTGTTTGGGTGACAATTCTTTTAGATGTTGACTGACCTTTGAKGAGGCAAGAAAGTTAATGTAGTAAATAGTAGTATTGCACAACTTACTGGTATTGCTGAATTTTGTTTTCCCTAATCATGCTTTAAAGGAAGAATGTAGATCACATGCTGTGGGAACAACAAAATTTTGCATTGCAATCACTGTTAATAACAATATTTTGCTTCTCATAAAATATATTGCGTTAGATCTTTATACAATGCTGAGGGAAGCATTTTATGAGAAATATTGCATTAAAGTATTGTTATATATTGGTTGAGTGAAAAATGAATTGACTAGTAAAATAGTAAGATCCTGAAATGTTACAGAGCAAATCTAGAAGCTAAGACTATTTTCTTTTTCTAAGGTAGTACCGTATTGAAGGAATTTATTAGTCAGAGGATGCCCAGTGGAGTTACGGTGCCAGAGTCAGGCTGTTTTCTCTTTGCCCTCACTTCGTGGCCAGCTTTCTATAGGCCCTTTGTATCAATATACAGGGTATGTCCTAGGGAGGAGCTGCCCACAGTCTCCTCTTGCCCTCTGCTCCTGACAGAGAAAAGAGATGTGTGAAAACTTTGAAAGGAACTGGGGGACCCATGTAATGCTCAGCCTAGGTAATTGGTGGCAGAAACTTCATACGATATAGCAAACCTCATCCTGGATAAGGGAAGAACTTCTGAAGACCCTGGAGGAGGAATGACTCACAGGCTCAAGTGCTGTGGCCCATCTCAAGGGAGGAAGCACAGGAACATCGTCCTCAACAATGGTTATGGGGCAAAGTAACCTTTATTTTATACTGCAGTTCAGGATGTGATTAGTATGACCTTCTCCCTCCTTTGGCAGGGATGTGAGCCGAACCRTGTCCTCCCCTGCTTACCTGTCAGGGTGTTGTGTTGTGCCCACCATGGGGTAGCTGGGGAGTTCACTGCAGATGGGCTGTAATGCAGTGGGTCACCTACAGGTGAGATGAGCATGTGGTGTAAGGCTATTGCTAGTGAAGCAGATGTTTAATATTACTGATTTTGGTTATTTTTGTTCTATTGATTTTTGTCAATAAAACAAATATTTGATGCAAGCAACAGTTCACCTATTTYCCTGGCATAGTCACAGGGTTACTACTTGGGCAGACTAATGAAATTTGGTGCCTGACATGTGGGAAGAAGACACTCATGGCATTGAGAGCCACCAAGGGGCTGACTGTGTGCCAGCACTACAGCTGCTCTAGGATGGCCTGGTGGGAATGGTGAGCAACAAAAGACTGGCAAGTGACAAATCTCCGTTTCAAAAATAATCTAGAAATTTAAGATAAGAAATTAAAATTGCATTTTTTAAGACTTGAGTATTTTGGGTGGGGGGGAAAGGGAGTTGTTTGTTTGTTTCCTGTGACATAAATGTGCTCCTGACTTTGGAGCAGATTGGCAATAAAATATTTTTATGGTAACTAAATGGATTGCTCCAGAATTTAATCACTCACTGAGGACTCATCCTTTCCCTTTTGTGAATGCTGTCACTTGAACAGCTGACTCAATTACATTTTCAGAAAGGTAGTCTGATAAAAAGGCAACGATGTTTGAATAACATGCTTTTAATCTTCTCTCTTTTAGATTTCCGTTGGCTATGTAGGTTTTTCTCCAGATACATATAATCACTAGCTCTTCTATTGTGCTGTCTTTGTTGAAAGTGTTATCAGAACTATCTTCATCAAAAGGGAGTTTTTTTTTCAGAGGCATCTCTTACTCTTGTGTGGAAACTATATGCCCTTTACAAATTGGATACCTTCCTCTACCACTTAAGCAGATGTAATGAATACTTAATCTTAGAGATGATGACCTTTCTAAACTTTGAGATACAAACATTTTTGTTTTAAGGAGACGCCAGCCTCCTGGAAAGGAAGYCTAAATCATGTTTAGGATTTTATACATCCAGTTCATAAGCTGCCATTTTTTTCTGTCGAAATGAAACAATCTGTGATGGGCCCTAGGTAAGAGGAGGTTGATACTTTTTATACAGATAAGCTCAACACTTTTTCCTTCTGCCCAGTATGAAGAAGCAACTTTGATGGAAGTTGATGGGAGATTAAGGCAGCTCTTACATTCCAGCTTGTTACCCACTCTTCCCCTGCTTTTGCTGTGTATCAAAGATGGATGTGCTTACTCCTCTACTGGTAGACCCAGGGCAGAAGTGCTTGGTGGCCTTTGCTTAGAGGTCTCTGCGTACATAATAAACAAGTTTGATGCGCTGTATGAACTTGGCCTTTGTGAGCTGTCTTAGGGAGATGTAATAGATTTTGATGTTCAATTCTGAATCTTCCACATGTTTTCCTACTAACTGCTTTGCAGTGTGTGTAAAAGTCAGATTATATATCTCATGTGCATTAGTAGTAATCATTAAAGTAGCTGTATAAATAATGAAATAATCTTTCAGATTGTCCAGCTTCCCAAGTGACAGGGAACTACATAATAAAATACACCAGTGATATACACAATGCTAATGCAGTTGCAAGGGAAGTCTGGAAAAACTGACTTCTCAGAAGCACATTCTTTCCTTAAAATAGACTTGTGTGATTGTCCTTTAACAAACTGCAGTTTGGAAACTGCTATTCACTAGTACCTGGACATTTCCCTTTGTAACAGCTCTGTCCTTAGCCCATTATCACAATACTCCTTAGGGAATGCCRTAGTCTTAGACCTTGCTTTTCAAGAAACAAGATGGTCTTTATCAATCTGTGTGGAGACTAGACAGCTACCTGCTATGGAGTACACCTAATGTGTGAGGCTAAAGAAGTGAACAGGTGAAACATCTGGGAGGCACAATATTAAAATCATAATTTTTTAAAAAAACTTTGCCATCCAGGTACAAATACACACAGGAGACCTAACAGTTAATTTTTTTAAAGTGTCTGTCTCTTGGGATATTATTCTCTGATTTTCTCCAGTTCCTGTAGAATAATTTGGCTGCCTGTGCAAGCTCGATTTGTGTGTGATTCCACAGCTGCAGAAGCCCATTGATATGTGGTGGTGAGCAAATCACTGCATTTTTTTCAGGGCTCAGCTGTTTAAAATATACTGAATGCAAAATCACTGGTAAGTTACAATGTGTTTAAATTACTCTAATTAACGCTTCTGTAGTATGGCACAGTTCATGATATTTCATTGCAAATTACAGTTCATGTACCTACCATGGCAAGCAGGCGTGATCCCTTATCTCTTTATTCAGAAACTAGAAAGAACGGAATGGAAAGAACCAAACTTTTCCAGCTAAATTGCAGACTTACTAGCTGATGTCTTTTGACAATTTTTTTGAGAAACTATGGAATGAGACAGAATTAAATTGTGGGTCTGAACAGCTTCATTTGATAGTGGGAGGAAGAAAAATCCCTCCTCAAGGAGYCTTTGATCTATTTCTATTTTTAACAGGTTGACTGTACCATGCAAAGGGGTGCTCTTACTATTGCTCATCATGTCATGCAAGTACTTAAAATAATATTCATACTGCAAATCTCGGATTTTAAGAAACTACATCAGGACAAATCAATCCAGTTTCTTGTACCGGCTCATCCACACAAGGGAGACATGGAAATGCTGGAGCATTGACGTAGAGGGTCACAGTGACATCTGGGTAGTTGCAGTGCAATCCGTGAAGTACTTTTAAGGCTTGTGCAAAAAAGGGAATGGATAAGGGAAATGTAATTGCTACTACAGCTACTTATGGGGGGAGGTTATAGAGAGGGTGGAGACAAACTTGTCAGCACTGAACAGTGACAATACAAGAGTCAATGTTTCAGAGAAAGTAAATTCCAGCAGGGCATATAAGATAAAAGAATTTTCCAGTGAGAGTATTAAGCATTGGGATAGGTTCCCCAGAGGAGTTGAAGAGTTTACATCCTTGGAAAGCATCAAACTTTCACTGAACAAGACCAGACTGTTTTTCTTTAAGTCTTTGCTKATTACCAGGGCTGATTATTTCATATTGTTGTCTAGAGAATATGCAGAATACTTCCTCACTGACATTTTTAAGGCAAAACTTCTACATACTTGAATATTGAATATTCCAYAACTCTAGTTACTTCTCCCTTTCCACTTCAGATATGTTTTAAACAAATGTATTTCCTACCTTCCTTTGTTATTCTGTCTGTGTTTTGTGGTTTTCAGAACTGGATGCTAAACTCTGGCTGATGACCCTAGGCACCACATATGGTAAAATAAAACTGCTTCTTATATCTTAGATATGATACTGAAGTAAGACCATACAAAATTGCTTGCTTTAAATAATTGATAGTTTAATACCCAATTGCCCATTTTTTTTATGCATTGAAGCTAAGCTTCCTGTTATATTTGCTCAATATCTTCCTCAGAGATATTTTCTGAAGTTTTCTTTTTCTCAGATTTTCTTTGTCTTCTACAAATTTTCAAAGAGAATTGCCTCAGGATTATTTTGGCTTATTTACCTAGAGTCTTTCCTGGAATGTCACCCATCCTGGGAGTTCGAATACTTTAACTTTTCATGTATATTAAGCATCTTCTACATTTAGATCCTAATCCTCTGTTAAAAATGCATTAAAAATCTCATCACAATTAATCTTAAATGCAGACTAGATACAAGTATAAGTGTATTACATTCATTGCAATGCATAACTGCTTAGATCACTCCCATCATAAGAAGCCAGTGCTTTTCCTTATAATTGGCATTAACATGAACACTAGAAAAGTGGRCTACTACTTTGGATCCTTCTCCTTTTTCTTCATACAAACAGTATGTAGAAACTTGCTGTATTTGTTTTTTACTGGATTTTGATTCTTTAACCTTGTCTCAGATGTACCCTTCACTTTGCTTTGATTAGTGCTTGATCTTCGTATTGATAGTCAATTCAGATTGGGYTCATTCTCATTTTGATATAGCTTTACTAAACCCTTCTTTAAAAAGTAATCTCATATAATGAAAATTTCACAAGTTTCAGGTGAGTTGATATTACTGAGGTTATATTCTGTGTTATTTGGATAGAAAYTATGTACTTGTTTTCAGAACAAAACTTTGCTCTTAGTATCAATAGGAATTTTTCATCACAAGAACAGGACATGGATTTGATCCAAAAATTCATAACTCAGTCTCTTCTGGAAGAACAGTCACATATACATATATATATATTGGACCTGCTAAGGACTGAGGTTACACTTTTGTTATTTTGTTATATTTAGAATTCTGATTTGATAGTAAATGCACAAAAGAGATAAGTAGGTACTTATCTAAGAATGAATTACTCAGAACTGCAACTACTTGGAATCTATTTTTCATATACAATCAGCACTTTGCTATTCCCACAGAACAGGTGCAGCATAATAGAGTTTAAGGAGAAATAAATGTTTGCAGGGAAGCAGTCTGTCCTTCATGGATAACTTAACACAAAGCAGAAGGAAACACAGAAATAATCTTCGTAGATCTTATTGATCTCCCTTTATATTATCACAAGCTAGGAAGCCAAGCTATTTATTGACTGAACTTTGGATAGCCACATCTGATTAGCTCAGCTTTCATGAGCAAATCTTACAGTTCAGTGAAAACACTTCATGCTGTCAGAAAGAGTAGGATGTGAGGTTACAAAACAGATGTCATTTTTCTTCTTTACCAAATAAATTCAAAAATATTCAAGGTTAACCTTATCATAGCTGACGACAAAACAGAAGGTGTTGACATGCTTCTGAACTYCCATTTTCCTCTGTTTTATTCCTAAAAGAGGTAAGATATATGTCAAAGACTGACAAAATACAACCTGAGAAGAATAGAAGTGTAACTGCAAATCTGGATGAAGTCCCATTTATCTATTGAAGATCTTGGACTGAATTTAAGAATGCTCCCACACTCAGAATTTATACTGGCAAACATTTTCTTGCAGAGTAAAATCACTGAGGCTCTAGCCTGGCATCTTCTGATCACCGAGGTTTCTCCCTGTGAAGCTCCCAGTTGATGAGAAGTGCAGATTTGGGTGCTCTGCTGGCAAATTGAAGAGGATTGAAAGTCACTAGTGCCAATGCAGGCACAGTCACAGGGAAGCACGAGGAGGACCATAGAGTTCTTGGTATCACACTCTCCAAACCCTCTCAGCAGTCTATAATAAACTTAAGAATGAAAATTTGCAAAGAATCTCTATGCCATGAAGAAAAGCCTGGGGATGTATTTGTCCTCATCCCTTCAATGGAAGGAAACTCATTAAGCTTCTAATTATTTCTCAGTTAGAAAGTAGACTATGCTCCATACTCGGTGAAGGTGRGAAAAGTCTTTTTTGCTGTTCAGGGGAGTTGGAATCCTACTGCAGATCCCWGGTCTGGGGATGGGTTTAAAAGTGAACATCTACATAACATACCTTTAGCAGGRTACCTAAGGAGATAAATGTTACCAGAAGCAATGACATAGTCAGCCTACCATCTTGTTTTTGATCTCCTTACTAGTATGTTAGAGGAAGGTTTAAAAATTATTAGGCTTAAGTTCTGCAGGAAGGAGGAAGAGGAAAACAGAGGGGAGAAAAAAAAAAGCATAAATCTGAAAAATTAAATTTTTACAGAACACATTATCAGACAGGGACAGAATTTCTTTTTAAAAAAATCTTAATGAGATATTCAAAATTTGCATACCAAACTTTAAYGTTTAACTCCAGCATCTCTCTTGTCCAGCCCTCCCTTCAGAAGGTAATTGAAATCGATCTCAGTGCTGTTCAGGCTGCTTTTCCCTGTAGCTTCTCTGAAATATGTAGTTGTGACTGCTTTCTTTGAGTGATTCAACATCGTTGAGTTTTGAGTCTGACCTTAATGATGACTTAAATTTACCTAACCAGGTATCAACTTAGGTCCTTGAAATTTCTCTCCCTCAGTCAACGTGCAGAAGAGCCCGGTCCTCTCCACTACAGTGAACAGTTGTGCAGGGGCTCTACAAGGCAGAATTGCAGCTTTTCCTGTCTCCCTTTGCAAATCCCATGAGAGTGTACRATTTTCAATGCAAGCCCTTTCTTCTGTAGGAAATTCATTTCCAATTTCATATTGCATCAGTTGCGGGGCTAGAAAGTTGGTGGACTTTTACTGGCATTTTCCTAAGCTTCTTAAATTCATTGYAGCTTAAATCCAGTAGATAAATATTCACAGGATTTTCTATTTAAAATTACTCCTTTTGGGGTGCTTTTTTATGAGCAAACTTATAAAAGTGCTGCCTGGAATGAAATGCTAAGTAACAGCATCTTGGATTAACAAACATCAATTTTAAAAATAGCTGCTTTTAATTACTGAGCTCTAAATCAGAAAGTCRGTGCAACATCAAGGGGCTGCTTTTTTCTATTGAATGTGAATAATATTTAAAAGTGAGGTGTCTTCTAACCCTTTAATTTACACCTTCTATGGACAGTTCTGACTCATGGTTTTAATTTTCCTTATTTTTTTTCTTTGTGGTTTGCAAAAGACGTTTCAAAGCACAGAATAAATGAAGAGACTCGATCCAAGATTCCTTGGCAAATTTCCCTCCTATTGTGAGCAGCACTGCTTGCCAAAAGTCCCTTTCTAAACTCCATAAGGACAGAGTTTTTCCCAATACTYTTTGGTCACTTCAGCTGTCCCTTGAAAATTTGATCTGTGCAGGTGGCTGATTCTTTCCTGTTGTATTGTCCAACAGTAACATCCTTTCTCGTCAGAAAGATAAGAGAGTAATGCTTGGTTTCTATGTCACTCCTCACTAAAACAAAGAAGCATCATGTGTCATAGAATCATAGAATGCTTAAGGTTGGAAGGGACCTCAGAGGTCATCTAGTCCAACCCCCTTGCATACGCAGGATCACCTAGAGTACAGGGCTGCGCCCAAGCGGGTTTTAAAGATCTCCAAAGAAGGAGACTCCACAACCTCTCTGGGCAGCCTGTGCCAGGGCTCTGTCACCCTCACTGTGAAGAAATGCTTCCCTTAAGTTCCTGTGGAACTTATGGTGCCTCAGCTTGTGGCCATTTCCTCTAGTCCTGTTGCTGTCCACCACTGGAAAGAAGMCACCCCCTCCTCCTCACTGCYKCCCTTGAGGTATTTWTAGACACTGATCAGGTCCCCCCTCAGCCTTCTCTTCTCCAGGMTGAACAGRCCCAGCTCCMTCAGCCTTTGCTCATATGGCAGATGCTCCAGGCCCCTGATCATCCTGGTAGCCCTGCGCTGGACTCTCTCCAGCAGCTCCACATCCCTCTTGTCCTGGGGAGCCCAGAACTGGACACAGTCTCCAGATGTGGCCTCACCAGGGCTGTGTATAGGGGGATGATCACCTCYCTCGACCTGCTGGAGACGCTCTTCTTAATGCACCCCAGGATCCCGTTGGCCTTCTTGGCCACCAGGCCACACTGCTGCCTCATGGTCATCTTGTCATCCACCATGACACTGAGGTCCCTCTCTGCRGGGCTGCTCTCCAGCAGGTCCACCCCTAATCTGTACTGGTGTCTGGGATTATTTCTCCCCAAGTGCAGGACCCTGCACTTGCCCTTCTTGAACCTCATGAGGTTTCTGTCTGGCCAATTGTCCAGTCTGTCCAGGTCCCTCTGGACGGCAGCACAGCCCTCAGGGCTATCAGCTACTCCAYTCAGTTTGGTATCATCAGCAAACTTGCTGAGGGAGCACTCCAGCCCTTCATCCAGGTCGTTAATGAACAAATTGAACAGGACCGGACCGAGGACCGATCCCTGGGGGACACTGCTAACTACAGGCCTCCAAACGGACTCTGCACCATTGACAACCACTCTCTGCACCCTGCCACTGAGCCAATTCCTAATCCACCTTCCCGTCCACTCATCTATCCCACACCTTTGGAGCTTGCCCAGGAGGATGCTGTGAGGGACGGTGTCAAAAGCCTTGCTCAARTCCAGATAGATGACATCCACCACTCTGCCYTCATCTATCCAGCYAGTCACTCCATCATAGAAGGCGATCAGGTTAGTCAAGCATGATTTCCSCTTGGTGAATCCATGCTGGCTACTCCTGAGCACCTTCTTCTCCTCCAYGTGTCTGGAGACAGCAGCCAGGATGAGCTGTTCCATCTCTTTTCCAGGGATGGAGGTGAGGCTCACCGACCTGTAGTTGCCTGGGTCAAAAACTCAYGTTGAAATACTGTCTAATATTATAAGTTACCAAAGTCAAATTGAGGTATTCCTCTGAGATATATGTAAGCAAGCTTTTTTTTTTTAGTTACACAGAGCCAGTTAAGGAAAAAGCTCTTTCTACAAGATTAATACAGTCTCAGGGTTGCTGCCATGGAGCTTTCTGAGATGAATGAGATCATTCTTACCCACAACTGAGACACCTTTCATTCAGTTGTTTGTTACGTCGTAATGATGACTTGTAACTTCCAGTAGGTGACGCTTTTTCTTTCCTTAAATAATGGAAAAACTATTTCTCACCATGATTTTATCTGAAGCCAATTGACCCCAGAGGTACTAAAAGCAACTGGTGTGACAGCTGCTCACTAACCTCCTGACAGAATATGGGGGAACGTTTATTAAACAAACAATGTTCACTTGACCCAAGGCTGACTTTGAAGTTTGATCTCTAGCAGGAAGACTTATCTAATGATTAAACCATGGAATTAGTCTCTTAGGACCATATCTAATAAAAACCTTGGGTGCTTATAACTCAGATGCCGCAATTCTTCATTTTAGACATATGCTGACTGCAATGAAATCCAAGGACAGAGGGAGATGACTTAAAGCTATTCACTGAGCAAAGACCTGCTCACAGGCAGCTGAAAGACAGGGTTAGTATGGGAGCAAAGGCTGGACTCTGTCCTCTCTAGACGATAGGTTCCCAAGTAAGGCGCATGAGATATGCAGCAGGGCAAGACTCATTGAACCAGAGAGCAGATCTTAAGGATGCTGCCTCTGAGCTTGTCAGCACACAGATAAGAGCAGGAAAGAGCTGCTGCTTTAAGGCTGTTTCACACTGCGTGATAAGAGAATAAAAAAAGGAAAAAAAAGTGCAAGTTACTCTCAAATCAGAGAGCAGAACCGAGGGGTCCCCATTTCACTGGTGTGTTGTGGCTGTGATTTATGGAGAGCAGGCACTGACTGGGAAGGTAGAAGGAGGATCCTTGCTCTCCTTTGCACAGCAGATTCACTTGGATGAACGGATGGGAGCACATATGGTTGCTTTTTTTTTTTCTTTTTTTTTTCTGCTAGCAGTCTCTCTGCTTACTGAAAGGCAAATCTGGAAGCGTTAAAGGAGCCTTCCTCCTGCAGAGGTATGGGAGGGCTCCTGAAAACACTTAGCACTTGCCTAGCCCAAGGGAAAAGAAGCAGTGTCAGAACATATTGTTTAATGTCCTTTAACTAACTTCTTTAAAAATATGTGCTGTAGCCAAACATGCCATCCTTAGTGTGAGCTAAAATGGTAACATTGCAACCAAGAAAGGAGTTTTAGAGCATAATGAAACCAGCTTAGATTTAACATGCAAATTTCAAGAGACWTTTTTTTTTGCAGCAGTAGCAGCTTAGAATAGTTAACAGAATACTTCTACCACATGCAGTGTAGTGTTATTTAATGTTTTTGGTGGCAGCACTAGATCTCAGACGCTGGGGTCTAGATATTTAAAGATATTTAGATACTAACCCCTAAGAATGCAATGAAGCTTACAAAGGGGTTCAGCTTCCCCAGCATAGTTGTCTGGTGGCATTTAAGACTCCCAATAGYGTACAAGTCAGGCAGATATGAAAATACAGAAAATTCTGCATTCTTCTGAAAGGCAACTGATTGGTATACTCTGCGGCAAATAAAATGGCAATGCTATTCATGTGAAGGTCTGTTTTTAARAGTATATGTTCACTGCAGCTCCAGAGCCCACGCTGGCTCTGAGTGCTGCACTGCCCAGTCTGCATCAGCCTTGCCTGGGAACTTCTGTATCACATTGCTGTTTTGAGAGGGAGGACAG